CTCCTCCTCCCAAGCAAGCCACGAATCTACCCACTCCCCACATTGAAATGAGGGAGGGAAGAAAGGAATAAAAGAGCCCCCCCAGTGTGAGATCTTACAAGCCCCCACCCCTTCCCCAGATCGCCCCGCCCCCCCAGATGTGTAGCTTTGGGGAGGGGGGGGAGAAAGGGGGCAGTGTGATATGTGCACAGAGATCCCCGCCTGTGGCAAAGGATTAGTGGGGGAGCAACCCCCCCATATACTTGCAGGTACTACAGAACCTTCTAGCCCTGGGGGGTGGGGGCAAGACAGACAGACAGACAGAGAAAAAAGCCAACTCCCACACCAATGCCTTCAGGACATTGCTTTGTTGCACGCAACTTTGCACGGACAGAGGTTACAGACAGGTGTGCAAAGGGGCCCGGCCCCCACGTCAGCTGGCGCTCAGCGCCCCCCCCCCCGAGCCCTGTGGCCTGCCCCACTAGACGTGGGTGCAAAGCCACTCGTGCAAACGGACGGAGGCCCCGTGGGCACGGACCCACTCAGCGGGGGTCTGCAAATGCACCAGGAGCCAGGTCCGTGCAAATACACGAGGGGCCGATGACTTGTGCCAAGACCCCCTGCTCGCATGAGGGCCCTTCCTGGGTCCCCACTTGCAATTCCCCAAGCTCCTAGGCCTCGCCTCCGGCCGGGGAAAGTCCCACCCTCTGACAGAGACAGCCATAGCGAAGTCCCACACCGGACACAGGCGACTTGGCCTTGCCAGAGATGGGGTGGGGTTTTTTTTGGGGGGGGGTGTAGTGGCGGTCTACCCCTTCCCTCCCCATGCTACCCAACAGAGATCACTGGAATGCTAAAAGGTGCGATCCTGGTTCCCTGCGCCCCCTGTTCTAACCCACAAACCCCCACTCCCCTCCCAGAGCTGGGGAGAGAACCCAGGAGTCCGGCTCCCAGCTGCCCCCATACATGCGGGGGGGGGGGAGGGTAGGGCCATAGGGGTGGCTGGGGGGGGGGAATGAAATGTACAATAGCAACATAACCTTAAAGTGCAGATACAGGCATTAATCAATAAGTCACCCCAAAAGGTCACCATCCTCCCCCCGCTCACCCCCCACAAGCAGCAGCTCAAGCTCTGGGCGGGGCAGCTGAAAGTCCCTTGTGACCCACCCCCTGCCCGTCGGGGGGCTGGTTCCAATCCCAGGGTCTTCATTTCCCAGCTGTGGGGGAAGTGGGTCAGGACCCCGGCTGGGCTACGCTCCCCAAAACCCAAGGCGGCGACGGGGACGCAGGACCCATCGGGAGGCAGAGAATCTGTTCTGGAAAGGAGCCGGAAGGGAGAGAGAGAGAGAGAGAGGAATTGGTGAGGATTAAAACACAGTCATCCTGCCCCCCCACCCCTCCCAGAGCCAGGGAGAGAACCCAGGAGTCCTGGCTCCCAGCCCTCCCCCACTCTAACCCACCCCCATAACAAAGCAGGGTATTATAATACCAGGCACCAGGGTACAAAGCCAGCTTTGTTGTCCAGGCGAGAGACAGATTCAGCCCTGTTTCCCTCCCCCCAGGCACCGGGGGGACCCCCCCCCCGAGCACCCCATATCTGAGAGGCAGGATCCATTCACCTCCTGGAGAAACAGTCAGTCCCCCTCCCCACCATACACAGCCTGCCCATGAAAGTCATGAGACCCTACCAAAATAAAGGGTACCCTTGCCAGCACCCCCAAAATAGACAATGATTCATTCTATATAAGCAGAGCCCCGCCCATACTCACCCTCATAATAAATTCAGGGACCTCCCCAGAAATATCCAGGGGGACCCCCAATGCTCAGAGGTAAATGAAGGAAAGCCATGCACCCCCCCCAAAATCACACTTTGCCCCCCCCAAAACCCAGGATTTGGGGCATGGTTATGAGTTATCCAATGCCAAGTACCCACAATGGCCATTCAGGGAGTTGCAGGGCTTCTTGCCACAATGCCTCCCCACAAACACACTATAGACTTGCAAGTATCCCACTACTCACACCAAGATATAGGAGAGAAACTATTTCTCCCCCCCCCCCC